TCCTCACTCTACCAACCGGTTTTGTAGGGTTGAGTTAGGCTCAACCACATTTCTTAACATGGTAACATCGGACACCGGTTTTGTAGGGTTGGTATCACAAGCCTTCATCGATCTACCTTTTTTCTCTCATCTTCTTTGATCGTTTCTCCTTTGAAGCCTTCATCGATCTACCTTTTTTCTCTCATCTTCTTTGATCGTTTCTCCTTCGATTTGTTTCTTGGTTGCAGAATACGGTGTTCATGTGAAGCAATGAGGCAAGCTCGTAAAAATCACACTTTACTCCATGCTATTCGTTTTCTTACTGGGTTAAATGAAAATTTTGTTGTTGTTAGATCTCAAATTTTACTGATGGATCCTCTTCCCAGCATGAATCGAATCTTTTCTATGGTACTTCAACATGAATCGAATCTTTTCTATGGTACTTCAACATGAATCGAATCTTTTATATGGTACTTCAACATGAGCGACAAGGCAATTTTGCTCCTACCGAAGACTCTCAGGCCCTTATCAACGCAGTAGGATCCAAGAAACCTTACTCAAAGTACCACAACTCTACAAATCCTACAGCTGCTTCAAAATCCAGAGTTTGTACTCATTGTGGCAGAAATGAACACACCATTGAAGTCTGCTATAGGAAACATGGATTTCCTCCTCACTTTGGCAAATCTTCCATGACAATTAATGATGCCGCAACTAAAGGGGAAGAAAATGGTTCAGCTGTCTCAGGCCATAATGCTGCCAATGCCTCTCCAGCTATCACTCAGGAGCAATATGAAACTCTCTTAAACCTTCTTCAAAATTCATCCATTGGTCAAGGTAACACCACTAATGCAGTCTCTAACCAGGTGGGCACCTCCACAAGCCTCATCCACTAGTCAAGGTAACACCACTAATGCAGTCTCTAACCGGTGGGCACCTCCACAAGCCATATGGCATGTACACCTCATATTTTTGCTTATAAGTGTTCTTCCTTAAATACTTGGATTATTGATTCTGGAGCAAGTGATCATATATGCTCCTCCATTTCATAGTTCAAGTCATATAGGTCTATTTCCCCTATTAGTGTGAAACTTCCTAATGGTCATATTGCTCTAGCTAAACATGTTGGTTCAGTCATGTTTTCCTCTGATTTTATCATTGACAATGTCTTTCACTTTTGATAAATGTTTAATCCAGGATCCTACAACTCTGCAGATGATTGGTTTGGCTGATAGCTCTGAAGGATTGTACCACTTGATTCTCAAAAATAAGCATGGTGGTGTTCCTACAACCAACAACATTTCAACATGTCAGTTACCTGATAGTGCCCTTTGGCATTTTAGACTAGGGCACCTTTCATATAATAGAAAGTAGTCTCTTCATAGCATTTTTCCCTTTATTGTTGTAGATAAAAATTCTGCATGTGATGTATGCCATTTTGCCAAACATAAGAGAAATTCCTATCAGTCCAGCTTTAATAAATCCTCTATTCCTTTTGAAATAGTTCATTTTGATATTTGGGGCTCTCATTTTGATATTTGGGGCCCTATTGCTATCAAATCAAATCAAGACCACTCATATTTTCTAACTGCTGTAGATGATTTTAGCAGATACACCTGGATTATTTTGATGAGATCAAAATCTGAAACCAGACAAAATATTGTGAATTTTGTTAATATGATTGAGACATAACATAATACCAAACTCAAAATCCTTAGGAGTGACAATGGTCCAGAATTTTTCATGCCTCAATTTTATGCCTCAAAAGGCATCTCTCACCAAACAAGTTGTGTTGAGTCACCCCAACAAAATGGGAGAGTGGAGAGAAAACATAAACATATACTTAACATTGCTCGAGCGCTTCTATTTCAAGCCAACATACCTAAAACCTTTTGGTCATATGCTGTAATTCATGCAGTATTTCTCATAAACAGAATTCTCAACCCTGTTATAAACAACAAATCCCCATATTTCTTGATGTTTAAGACTGAACCTGATCTTCATGAATTAAGAGTCTTTGGCTCCTTAGTGTATGTTGCTACTTTACAGTCTTGTAGAACTAAGCTTGACCCTCGAGGTAGGAAATGTATATTCCTAGGGTACAAGCAAGGAACCAAAGGAGCTGTCTTATTAGACATTCAAAACCATGACATTTTTATTTCCAGAAATATAACTCACCCTGAACATATATTCCCTTTTAACCCAAACTGGAAATATTACTCTGACCATCAATCCCAGTTCTGACACAACCTCAATACCTTTACCTATTAACCAATACCCTTACCTATTAACCATGAACCTTACCTATTAACCAATACCCTTACCTATCCTAACCCTCTTTTACAACCTGATTCTTCTCATCCAGACAGTTCCACCACCATTAAAAGACACAGACACTCACCTGCTTATCTAAAGGATTATGTGTGCAACTCTTCAAGCAGTCAGGCCCTACCAGCATCTTCAGGTATTCATTATCCCATTTCTGATTTTCATTCATTCAAGTCTTTGTCTCCTAGTCATAAAGCTTTCTCTTTATCTGTTACACTTGACCATGAGCCAAGTACATATGAGGAAGCTTGCACAGATCAGAACTGGGTGAATGCCATGAAGCATGAATTAGAAGCCTTAGTTGTCAATGGCACCTGGAAATTGATTGATCTTCCACCTCATATCAAACCCATTGGGAGCAGGTGGGTATATAAGATCAAACATAAGGCTGATGGCACCATTGAAAGATACAAAGCAAGGCTTGTTGCAAAAGGATACAGTCAAGTAAAAGGCCTGGATTTCTTTGATACATTCTCACCTGTAGAAAAATTATCCACTATCAGAGTTCTTCTTGCAGTTGCAGCCATCAAGAATTGGCATTTGCATCAACTTGATGTTAATAATGCATTCTTGCATGGTGACTTAGAGGAAGATGTCTACATGAGTGTCCCACAAGGCATCACTTCTAACAAGCCCAATCAAGTGTGTAAATTTGTCAAAAGTTTGTATGGACTTAAACAAGCAAGCAGAAAGTGGTATGAAAAACTTACATCCCTGTTGTTGAACCTTGGGTATAGCCAATCAAATTCTGATTATTACATGTTTACCTTGGTTAGAAATGGGCACATCACAATCCTTTTGATATATGTTGATGATGTTATTCTAGCAGGTATTTCACTTGCTGAGTTTGAGCACATCAAGCATATTTTACATACTGCCTTCAAAATCAAGGACTTAGGGTCTTTGAAATATTTCCTTGGGCTTGAGGTGGCTCACTCAAAGGAAGGGATCACAATATCCCAAAGGAAATATTGCCTATCACAATATCCCAAAGGAAATATTGCCTGGATTTGCTAACCGATACAGGATTGCTAGCCTCTAAACCAGTTGATACTCCTCTCAATCCTTCGATAAAACTGCATCAAGACAGCAGTAAACCTTTTGGTGACATTACTGCATATAGAAGATTGATTGGGAGATTGTTGTATTTGAACAATACCAGGCCTGACATAACTCTTGCCACGCAAGAATTGAGTCAGTTTTTGCATTGCCCTACTGAAGTTCACTATCATGCTGCATGCAGAGTTATTAGATATTTAAAAGGTAATCCTGGTAAAGGACTTCTCTTCCCTAGAAAGTCATCCTTGCAAATTCTAGGATACACTGATGCAGACTGGGCAGGATATAGTGATTCCAGAAGATCTACCTCAGGATATTGTTTTTTTATAACACCAGTTTTGTACTGTGATAATCAGAGTGTTATTCATATAGCATCCAACCCTGTTTTTCATGAGAGAACGACACCTTGAGATTGATTGTCATCTTGTTAGAGAGAAGATCAAACAAGGCATTTTAAAGTAGCTTGGCATGATAGACATATATCATGCTTGAGCTTGAGGGAGGATGTTAAAATTCAATTAGTTTTGGAGCAATGATAGAATAGTTATGTTTTCCCTTATTAATTAGGATTAGTTATGTTTAGTAATCCAATTAGTTTGTAGATGAGAAGTTAGTGGTTATAGTTTGTTAGGTAGTTACAACTACCTCTTGTATATGTACCCTTGTATTTTGGTTAAGCTTTCACAAATACAGAAATACAAAAGAGCTTCACATTCTTCTCTCTCCATCTTTTTTCTATTCTCTGTTTTTATTTTTTGTTTGCTATGCAAAGCTTCATCAATAGAGATTATTGGTTTTCATTTTTTGTTTGCTATGCAAAGCTTCATCAATGGAGATTATTGGTTCATACATGAAATATGTTAAGATTTTTTAACACATTATATTATTTTCTGTATCTATTTTTCCTTGTTTCCAATGCATCCGGGTTTGCCAATTTAAAATCATCAAATCCATACTTCAAATTTGTAACATGTTTTTTATCATCCAAATTATACAAAAGATATAAAATTGAATTTGGAGGCTTTTGAAAACGTAAGGGAAACAAGAAATTTTATATTTTGATGTTGTTTAATGCCCACACGTTGAAAACATCCCAATATCCACAACATTGTTTATTCTTGCAACAATGATGACTCAACATGAATGACCAAGTGAAATTTAGTCATCTCGTAGTCCACTTAGTTATTATTTTATCAACAAGATGAAAAAATTATATTAATTATTCATTTTACTTTGTCACACTTTTCTTTCCATCCATTTTGTATCCACCCAAATCTTATCTTCATTTTCGCTCTATACTCATTTTCTTCCCACTTTCGGACAAGTAACTAGCCTCATAAAATTTTCTTTGTTGGAAGGAAAAAATGCTGAATTGACAATGAAAATTGATTACAATGATTTTTCGTATTCATCTGAACAAATTCTATTTAATGACTGTAAAAGATACACTGACTACTCTGACTTACTACAGTTCAACTTCGATTTATAGTAGAAGGCCTAAAATGATGCATTGCCGGGTACTGCACTCGTCTAACAAACAACCAAACATTCATTAAAGCTTCTCTCATTTTGTAGTCTCCATTACTTATAATCTCAACATGACACAGACTGGTCAAAAGTTTTAACTGGAATGATCATATTTGCCGGCTGAAGTATATGTTCATAAAGTATCTAGAAGGATTGAAGCCACTCAAAATCACTGGAAACAAGAAATTGTGTTTAGACTTTGGATGCAATATTAACATATTGTGTAGAACAGAAAGGAATGCACAATAATTAAATACTTACATATGGGAGAAAGAACAATCACTACACCAATTGGATACAGAAAAAAGGTGGTCCTCTCCAAAAAGGGCAGAACTACAGCAGAAGATGTCAATCAATTAATTTAATATTATTCAAACAGTACATACTAAATAATAGATGGATAAATGAAATTCAAATAATATGTTGGGGTGTCGGTATCCTATGTTTTTGACATTATCAGTGTCTGAGTGTCATGTAAGGTCTTAGTGTTCGTGTCGGATTATGTTCTTTACGAGACAGCAGACACACTCCAGGATACAACAATAAGAAAATATTTGAAGATTAATGAGAGAGTCAGCGAGAGTCTTACCATCATAACCTAAGAAATTTAGATAATGGTAGTACGAAGCTCCCACCATGAATAATAGATTTGACAGCAGTTCTGGAATGAAGCCATGAGCCACCAATAGAGGAGATAGAAAATAATGGATCACTGCCAAAAGATCAGATATCAGTACCTTTTAATTCAAGATACTTTAGCTGCCAGCATCATAACAATTCATACTGAGGAGTCAGAAATTACCATATAGCAAAACAAACATCGGGAAGAAAGAGTTGCAGTGAACATCAAATGCATACATCCTTCCATGGAAAACCAAAAATATAATCAGTTTGGAAATTAATCATTAAAATTTTAAGAAAATGGTGATCAAGTAATATCCATGCTTATTAACAGAATCAAACATATAAAAGAAGCCTTGCCTGAATAATATTTAGCAAATAGTAGTGCATGCTCTGAAAATTGAACATGCAAACAACTAAATTGAGTCAACATAATGAAAACTGGCAAGAACATTCTTGATCTTACCATTCAACACGCTGTTCAACCACATAACTGTTTGGAGCCTCTTCTCGAAGATAAGAATTAGTTAGAAACCTGAAGAATATATAGATAAAAAATATACATTAGCTTTAGTATCAAATCTAATGATTTGAAGAAAGGGGGAATAATTTGCAGTAGAAAGTAGCCTTACCAACAAAAAGTTGCCAGAAATATGCCAGTCAATAGAAAATGGAAAAGCAACACTGAGAAGACAACAAAAAGTGCATGGCCAGAACTATGGTCATACCTGAAAATGATCAAGAAAATACAACAATGTAAAAAAGTTAGCAGATGCCTAGAGGCACTTAATGAACTAAAGAGGGCATCAAAAAACAAAGTAACAATCTAAACAAAATGTAAATGATCATTCAATTTACACTAAAATCACAGTTAATGATTCACGGTTAAATAAAATTCACACATTCCAGAGTATAAATTATAAGCCTGTTTTTATAAGGGAAATTTTCAAAATCAAAACAACCTTACGGCCAAATAGATGAAATACAAAGAATCACATTAGTGATGAGTTGTTTTCTTTGTTGTTCTACAAATGTCAAGTATTTTTAGCTAGTCGTCTAATCATGAGGAGCCACAATGCAAGAGAAACTTACGCTCCACAATAAGCCAAAGTTGCAACAGCCAAAAGAAGGCTGCAGATCACAACAAATGCAGGGTCATCGCGTGCCCATTGGTTCTTGGTTTCTAATATCAAATAAGAAAATCAGTTAAAAAATATGTTGAAACTGTCAAATGTATCAATCATATAATGATAAAACTTGCAGCTTTTTTCTTCTTGAAACAATGCATTGTTACATATTGCCAAATTAAGCTCATGTACAAGTCTAAAAAGCCAAATCTCCTTAGAGCTCATTATGAAAAGCATTAACCGCAACATTTAAATGGATTTTTTCTTCAAAGAAAAGTGAACCGTATCATTGAAACGCATTCCATCATTTTTCCCCTCTATCCATGTTTCCTTTGATATGTAAAAAATATTTCTCTCACTAACCAACTACTCTAACTAATCTTATAGCTCCCTTTTATTTCGTATACTAAACAAGGTAATAAAAATCAGAGCAGATGGTTCAACCGGTTGGACTGAGAACTGGACATTCATCTGGTCCAAAACTACTTGAAATCCACTATGCAGTCTATGCTTCAAAACCGGGGAACGAACCGGTCAAAAACAGCATAGCTGACGGTTTAGGCAGGTCCAGGGTTTGGACTGTATTTCTGCTTTTACTTGTTTCTAAAACTAAAATATACTTCTATTTTATAGCCAAAGCCTACGCTACTTTTCTCAATAGCGACTGATGTAGGACTAAAATAATAAAGGGGTACTTTATGGTGATTGAGAAGTTCCATAAGCAATCATTTCTTTTTCTCTAACTTTACCATGCAAATATGATTTATGCATTCACTTTTGTCCCACAGCAAAGAAATGTTCCATCCAGTATTAAAACTCTTCCATTTTTCATTATAATGACCGTGTCTTAGCTATGATATCAACACAGACTAACTCAAACAATTACAAGCTTCAACTACAAAGGAGGAACCAATATCATCCAGTTCCACAAATTAAACAAAATGCCTCTCGTTTCTCACGCAATAACATCCAATCGTCTCTCAAATGGGTCATGTTGTAGGAAGAAGGCACAATGGTTTTATCATTTTAACTAACTTTCGTCTCTGGTAGTTCATGCTTTTAGCTTACTTAAATAATACAGTTTCTTTTCCCAATATCAATTGCACACCTTGTATCAATGAGCACACCGGTTCAATATCCAATCCGGTCTTTATTACCTTGATGCTAACATGTATGGGATAAATATAGCCAAGTGCACTGGGAATAACTAATTGCGGTTAAAGGCTACATAAGTAACATGACTTAGTAAAACAGAACCTTCTCAACAAACATCACTCAAACAAATGCTCTTCAAAACACGTAATAATTAAACAAAACAAGACAGTTATACATGGGAAGTGGACTTACGTTTGTGGTATTTTGTATGCTGGTAGCTGCATCCATTGCACAGTTCCATATCAAATGTATCAAAAACACAATCAGAGAACCAAACGCGTACACAAGCAACGGGGTGAGTAAAAACTAAAAACTCAACCATGAACTATCAGTTTATGCCTATATGTTTGGCAATACAGTTTATCAAATAAAATAGGCCTCATATTATTGTTGCATCAGATCATGGTAACAATGTGATTTTATTTTGTTAAGAGGAGGACAGAACAGAAGATGATTTTTATATACTTACACAACTTTTGGTGACGTACATAGATGAAGCATTTGCCAAAAAGTGTATTCAACATCCATTTGTTGCCACTACAACGAATAACAAAATTACAGAGAGAAAAAGGGTAAATGAAGCAATCACCTGACTCAAAAAATACAGTAAATAAATGGTAATAAAAACTAAATTTCCAAGTGCAATGTCAACACTCTAGTGTATCTATCTATGACTATGACAGCCTATGTAGTAGCAGTATCAGCACTAGATCAGCATCCACCATACCAAATTCAGGGGGAAAATTGACTTATGTGGGAAATCTTGACTTGAAAAATTGACACTAGCTAGTAATAAGGGCTTTGTTTGGATTGATGGAATCGGATGGAGCGGAGCGGTATGGCATAGAATAGAGTGATATTTCATTGTTTGGATCATTTAAAATCGGATGGAGTGGAGCGGAAAGAAGTGGTATGGATTCCACTACACTCCATCACTTACCACCATATTTCTCCCCCTCCGATTTTGGCGGAATGAAGAATTTGTCTTGTTACGTTCTAAAATTTCCAAACGATGGAATGAAATCTTCATTCTGCTCCACTACATTCGACTCCGCTCCATTCCATTCTACTCCATTCATTTTATGATATCTAGACATAGCCTACTATTACATTTTTCACCTCTACATTATGTTTTTTTCTTCATTTTCCATGTATCTCCCACTTTCTATTTCCAAGTTCTCTCTTCTCTTTATATTTTTAGCTCTTCACCTCAACATTATATTTTTCTCTACTCTTCAATATCTTTCACTTTCAGTATCATACAAAGCACATCATCCACCACAAACACATGCACAAACCAATCCGAGCAATATAATCCAAAACATTAAAATTTCAACCGAAACAGCAAAAAGAAAATCAAGTAATCATGAATTTCGCCTAATCTAAAAACTTGATTTACTTCTTAACATTCCAGTTTCAAACTTTTCCAGTAATAATTAGGGGTTAATCAAATCCTATGGTTTATAATCACACACTATATCAAAGTCATTGCATTGCCCCAAAGTTCAACGGCATTGGATCTTAGCGAAATAAAGGAAGAAGATGCGGAAATGAAGAGATCGGTACCTTGATAATTCTTCGGAGGTAAGGAAGAAGAGTTGAATTAGGTCTAGAAGAGGATGAAGATAAAGAGGAAGAAGAACGTCCTTTGATTACGGTTGGTAACATCTTTGCTCGTTTGATTCGATTCGTTTCAGCTATGGAAACGATCGAAGGATTTTTCTATTTTGATTTCTTCGTTTTGGTGTGATGTGATGAATTGCGATCTCTCTCGCTCCTCTCTCTCTCTCTCTCTGTCCTTCTCCGGTAGCTTGCTTCGAACTCAGATGAGAGATGAGAAATGGCGAAGGACTGAAAAGTAAAAACAGTTATGTTAAATTGGGCCGCATATAAACTAATTTCAGAACTGGACTAATGGCTTATCAGAAATCTACCGTGCACCCTCTATTTGGACCTAGCATCCCCCACATAACCTTTAATCTCACCATAACAATCTCATAACTAAAAATATATATATATATTTTTCACATTCGCAATCTTGTTTTTTGGATTTTTTCAAAAAATATATTTTTTTTATTGAAGATTTGTAGTTTATATCGGATATTTAATAATGAGTGACGGTTTTCATTAAATTTATGAATTTGATAATGAATATTTTGATAGAATATTGGATATTTAGTGAAAAACATGCACTTTTACTGGTTTTTAAAAATTATCGATACTAAATTTATGATTTTATATCCATTATTTAGAAATATCCAGTATAATATCATATATTTGTTTGCATTTTTATCAATTTTTTCTAAAAATTTGGTATGATGTTTTTTTATCGACAATTTTAAATAGTCAATAAAAATGAATATGGTCATACTAAATATTTACAAATTGACGTTAAAAATACATACATTTATATCAAATCTTTAAAAAATATCGATATATGTAGGGGTGTGGTTAGATATTTTAAAAAAATTTGATAAGGCAGATTTTTGGGTTTTAGTGAGGAGAAGAGGATGAGATGACAAGATTATTCCAGTATTGAGCGAAAAAGTGGTTGTGGAGAGCTCTAGTGGAGGCGGTGGAGATGAATGAGAAAGTAATTTGGAGATTAGATTGGGTATAGTAGTCTCAATCAGTTATCATCATAGAAGGATTAAATAGTCTTGTGAGTCGCATACTATATAGTGTATAGGAAGTAAAGTTAGTCGGGATAGAGATCATGATGTTGAGTAAAATGTTGTCGTTATTGATGATGTTGAGGTTGATGCATATGTGAAAATTCACGATGATACATAGGTTGCTACTCATGCAGATAAGGGGGTTCCCATTTTGGGTGATACATAAGTGCCAACTTAAACTGATACAAAGGCGTCTTTTTAGGCTAACACGTATGGAGGGTTCCCTGGAGGGCCTAGTGACCTTATCTTACTCATTGGTATGTTAATCATGTGGCATTTAGATTGTGTCAAGGAGATGTATAAATATTTGAATTTAAGTTGTTTTTATTTATTATATGTTAAATGAATATAACTGATAATTTATGCTTTATTTGTTCCAAGGAGGCAAGAATTTTCACATGGAAGTTTAGTGCTTTCAAATAGCCTTTTAAGGCAATAAAGATCTTCGTGTGGAAGTCTAGCATGTTCAATAGCGTTCTAAGGTGGCAAGGATCTTCGCATGGAATCCAACATGTTCAAATCACCTTTTAAGGTGGAAAGGATCTTCGTGTGAAAGTCTAGCATGTGTTAAATAGCCTTTCAAGGCGGCAAGGATCTTGGCATGAAAATATCACATGTTAAAATAGTCTTTTTAGCAGCAAAGATCTTCGCGTGGAAGTCTAACATGTTTAAATAGCCTTTATAGGCGGCAAGGATCTTCACATAGAAGTCAAGCATGTGTAATTAGCCTTTTAATGCAACAAGGATCTTCACGTGAAATTTCAGCATGTTCAAATAACCAAGGCAAGAAGAATCTTTACATAGAAGTCCAACGCTTTCAAATAGCCTTTTAAGGCGGCAAAGATCTTTGCATGTAAGTCTAACACTGTCAAATAGCCTTTTAATGCGGAAAATATCTTCACGTGGAAGTCCAACATGTTCTAATAACCTTACAAGGCATCAAAGATCTTCACTTGGAAGTTCAACATGTTAAAATAGCCTTTTAAGGCAGCAAGGATCATAATGTGGAAGTCTAACATGTTTAAATAGCCTTTTAAGGTGACAAGGATCTTTACGTGGAAGTCCAACATGTTCAAATAGCCTTTCATGGCGACAAGGATCTTCACATTGAAGTTTGACATGACCAAATAGCCTTTATAACTGGTAATGATCTTTGCATGGAAGTCCAGTATGTTCAAATAGCCTTTTTAGGCATCAAGGATCTTCACATGGAAGTTCAGCATATTCAAATAGCCTTTTAAAGTCGCAAAGATCTTCACGTGGAAGTCCAACATGTTTAAATAGCCTTTTAAGTGGCAAGGATCTTTTCATGAAAATCTGGCATATATATAATCTTTTCATCAAAAACATTCAAAGGTTCATACACTTGTGGGCGATCTGACCCATAAAATTACAAATAGTCTAACTACAATAATATTTAAAATGGATAGAGTTCCAGGTCCTAGGTATAACTCTTCCATCCAATTCCTATAGCTTGTATGCCCCCACGAGGGAGCTTCTAGGATATGTGATATGGGCCCTCTCATTTGGGTTGCAGCTTTCCTTGTTGTCCAGGTATAATAATTTTCCTTAAGACTATGTCACCTTCTTGTATATCCCTCGGAATGACTTTGGAGTTGTATCTTTTGGAAGCTCTATGCTTGGCAGAAAATTCTCGGATGTGAGCGACTTCTCTTAACGCATCGACCAGATCTGCAGCACATTTTAACCCTGTCTTGTTTACCTCTTAGTTGAATTGGGAATGTTGCAATTAGGGTGTGTTAATCTCTATGAGCAGCATAACATTTTCCCCCGTATACCATGGTGAATGAGGTTTCCATGGTAGTGGAGTGGTGGTGGTATGATATGACCACAATATCTCATAGAGCATTTACACCCATAAACCATTAGCGTCGTCGAGATCCCATCTAGGACCACCCTGTTTGCCGACTCCGTTTGGGCATTGGCCTATGGATGGACAACAGATATGAACTTTGTTTAAACTTCTAATTCCTAGAAAGATTCAATGACTGTAGTGATGACAAACTATGTTCTGTTGTTGGAGATGATGATTTCAGGTAGCTCGAATCTGCACATAATCTTCTTCCAGTAGAAGCGGCAAACCCTTTTAGCTGTGATTTTGGTGATACCATCCGCCTCATCCACTTTGTAAAGTAATATACTCCCACGATTAAGAATTTTTATTGACCCGACACTATGGAGAACGGGCCTAAAATGTCCACCCCTCACTGGTAGAAAAGCCAAGGCAACATCATTGAATGAAAGAGTTATGGCATAGCGTGATGAAGGTTAGCGCGTCTCTAACACTACTCACACTTCTTTACATAAGAGATGTTATCCTTTAGCAAGGTAGGTCAATAGTATCCTACCCTAAGTGATTTGTGGGCGAGAGCCCTACCGCCAACATGACTATTGCAAGCCCATTTATGTACTTTTATAAGGACCATGGAATTTTCCTGCTCCCCCTTTAAGACTATTTTATAATGCTTTTCAGTGAGGAAGGTGTACTTTGCGACCTATTTTTCAATCCTTTCTTAGCTACCCTTCTTTTTGTGGGAGTTTATCCTCCTATAGATATCGTAGTATGGGCGACGTTCAACTTGACTCGGGGGTGATTTCCAGGGAGAAAGTTTCATTCACTTCAATATTGGGTACAACGAGAGTCTTCTAAATCATTGTCTGGTTAAAACCTTTCAATTTCGAGCTTGCAAGCTTGTACAGGAGGTATACTCTAAAGTTTTTCTCTCGGGGAACATGTTCTATTTCAAAAGACGTGAAGTGTGTCGATAGACTTTGTACCTTATGTAGATACTTTATCAACTTAGATTATTTAACCTGGTACTTTTTTGCGACTTAGTTGGCAACTAATTCAGAGTCGCTATTGACTTTCAATTTTGAGTCTCCAATCTCTAGGGTGAGAACCATGATGGAAAAAGGGTTTCGTGTTATGCCTGATTATTGCTAGCTTTGAATTAAAACTTCAGTGCTTGCTTAATTAGTATGTCGCAGGGTCCTTCTAAAATAATTTTTGCACTGCTTCCCTTCATATTCTAGGCATCATCAACCGATAGTGTCCACTATGGGGGTGTTTCCTCCTCCATGGGCGAGCTAAATTCTGCCAAAAAATTTGTAAAATCCTAGGATTTAATACTTTTTCTCAAGCCGTATTGGATGTCGTATTCGAATAGTTCCACCGTTCAAGAAACCATTCTTCTTGCAAAAACTACTTTTTTCAGGACTTATTGAACATTGTAGTTAGTTTTAACAATGATTTTATGATCCTTAAAATAAGGCTGATCTTTTGATAGTGTGTTTCAGCACCTTTGAACATTGTTTACAAAATACACATGCCTTTCTATTTTATCTATCTTCTGGACGAGTACTAAGCTCATTTCCCAATTTGTAATTGAAAGGTAAATGAGCATCAATAATCTTTCTCACGGGCGAGTAAGAATGGACGGAGATGTGAGAAAGGTTTTTACCTTCAAGAAGGCCTCCTCGCACTCTGTAGTCCATTCAAATCTCTCTTCCTTCTTTAAGGAAGCGAAAAAGAGGAAAACCTTGTTGACAACACAAGAGAGGAAACAAGATATGACAGCAAGGCAACCAATCAAATGTTATGCCTCTTTAACATTAACAAAGATTCTCATATCGATAATTTCTTGACACTTATTCAGGTTAGCTTTAATGCATCTCTTTATTAGTGTGAATCCAAGGACTTCCCAGCCTAAACCCCGAAAGAGCACTTGGAGGGATTCGAACGCATGTTGTATTTCTTGATGGACTACAAGACATCCTCAAAGTCTGCAGTATGGTTGCACCCTTTGATGATTTTCACTATTATATCGTCAACATAGACCTCCAAGCTCTACCATATATGATGGGAGAACACATCGTCTATGATGAACAATGATAATTAGGGCATGAAGAAAAAAATCATAGCATGATAAAAATGACAGAGAAGAGGCTTATAAATAAAATTAATTGCAAAAATTTAAAAATAATTAAATTAAATAGCATTTTTAATTTTAAATAATAATAAATTTAAGTTAAATCAATAAGCTAGTAACAATGATTTCACATTTATTTGAACCAATTTAAAATTTTTCAAAAATTAAAAGACCAAATTTGCAAAATAAAAAAATATAGAAATAGAAATAAAAAAATTGATAACATGTTGAAAATCAAGTCCTCCGTGAAAAACCGCGTCCCCATTTCAAAGAGCTCGAATTCGGATATTACCATCAGAAGATACCGACCCGATTAATGCCGCAATTACTCTGAACAATAACAATTTTGAATAGCTTTTGATAGGAAATTTTGGGTTTCGTTTTGAATCAAAAAAAGTTAGGGTTTTGGTAAATCCCTAAAATGTCTACTGGTAAACCTAAAGACAACGATTTTCAGCTTTCTGTAGTGCCGGGAATGTCGAAACCGCCGCTACCGCCATCGTCAAATGCGATTGTAGAATATACTCCTCCTGTTTTTAAGGAGGAAGAAGAGGATTTGGAAATTAAGCTCCGACGGATTATCGACAATGTTCCGGTTCGTGTTAGCAATACCTCCGGTAGTTCTGCTGGTTCTGGCTCCGGCGATTTCCACCAGGTAAAACTGATGTTTAGTTTGTATCAAGAAGAATAATTGTTATTATTAGGGTGATTATCATTTGCCAATAATTATGAGTGTGCTTGTGAAGTGTTTGATAGATTGTCTCAATGAAGTCTCTTGTGGTGCCTGTAGGTTTTGTACTAAAATTACATTTTAATGACCTATTAAATGGAAATAGTAATTGAAAAAGGAACATTAGGTGTAGTGTTGCACTTCTGTGTGGATATAGTTGTTGCCTGTTTATCATACATAGTTTTGTATTCATGCAGAATAACATTTAATGACCGATAGTTGGTCCAGTAGTGATTGGCGCTGGACTTGGTAGAGATAACCACGGTTTGATTCCAACAACTGCAATCGGGATGGGGTTGAAACTGATGTCAGAACTGACCCTCAAACTGGATTAGTTAGTCCATTGAACTGGACCGGATACTGGTGGTGAAAACCAAAAAAAAAAAGTGAAGTGATACTGCAATTGTGTTGCTCTTAGATCAATGTGGTGGTAATGAGGGGTGTCTTGTTAGTTTTGTTATTTATTTTTTGGTTGTAAATAGGGTGTCTTGTTAGTTTAACTAAGTGCTTATTCATTAAGCTATCACAAGGAGTTCAATTGAGTGTTTCTTTATTGGTTATTATAGAGTTTTTTTAAAATGATCTGAAAATAACTCATGTTCATATACGATATTTACTATAGTCTTTATTATTATGTAAGGTGCATGTGGAAGTTCTATTAGTATTAACTTAGCTCTATTGGCCTCCCAGACCTAAAAAATCGTACAGATGTTAATTGTTGGATGTAAACTGATGGGCTATAAGCCAGTAACGTTACACTCCAATGTAGCTATGTCTACCTCCATTTACTGGTTCTCAATCATAATTTTTAACCAATTGTTTGATTCATAGTGCAACTGTCTAATGCATAAACTTGTTGGAATGATGAAGGGATTATCCTTGTTTTATTTATTTTTAAGTGGCATGTTTACGACCCTCATTAGGGCTAAGGTATCCTTTCATGTACTTAAGATGACCCGTCATGAATTGTATGATTAGGATTAGGATGTCTATTCATGGAAACCCTTATCAATTGGGTGACATTTAATAACTTGAACATGCATACTGATGTGTTTTCTCCTGAATTCTGTGATTAGGATTAGGATATCTATTCATGGAATCTCTTATCAATTGAGTGACATTTAATAACCTGAACATGCATACTAATGTGTTTTCTTGCCCACTTAACTAAGGTTTTTGAATTGATAATGGAACACATTGGAATAGGATTGCTCACAATTTGTTATTTTCTTGTGTCTTTGGTTTTACTTTTTTCAAAGGAATCATAATGTATCACTATTTTTGTTTTATGGTGTGCTCAGTTCTACCAATCATCGTTATCACAGCACAACTACTTAACATGTGATGTTTGACGTTTTCACTTGTTCTGACGATTTTATTTTTGTTCTTTAAACAGTATCGGCAGATGAGGCGCAAGGAGCAAGATCGACTTGCTAGGATGGACGTTGATTATCAGAGAAGGAAAGAACTGGCGGAATTTAATATGAGAAGAGAGGAAAGGTTAAAAGCTGCTGAGGAACGCACAGCTAAGAAACGTGCAAAACGTCAAAAGAAAAAGCAAAAGAAAAAGGAGAAAAAAATCAAAACAAATGATGGAGAACAGCAGCAAAAGAAAGAAGAATCTTCAGATGATGGGGATTCTGATAACAATGAGGAGGCTTAGGACCTTGAAACAAGCTTCTGTTGTACCCCAAGTTTTTTAAATTTGGTTGAAGCTAAGTATGCTAAGTGGGTAAATCTGTTTTAAGGTAAAACACAGTCCTGACTCGGGTTTCTACTATTTTTATCCTATGAGTTGTGAGGTACTGTATGAGAGGCAATCCAATCAACCTATTCCAATGATATTTATCTTAAAGAGAACTAGCTGCTTGTTTGCATTCACCGCTGTGCAAAATTGATTTTGCCTCTAATTAATTTTAACTTGAAATTAGAAATTGTAGTTTCTTATTCTAATTTTGATTTTTTATAACTCAATTTGCTGTTCAATTCATCTATATAAAAGGCAAAATTTGATTTTGGTGTAGTCTATTTTTTTTTATCAATTTTACTCTTAGATAACCTATACAATAATTTCTATTGACAAAACTACTATTATCTTTTACATAACATCCTACTACTTTCTATTTAACTTTCATATAAAATTAACATTAAATTAAAAAATATACCAAATATATTTTCATGTCCATACATTAAAAAAGCATGCACGTCAGTTTTTAAATAATTTTGATTAGACCTATTTTTAGTCCACGTCAATTTTATTATATTAATTTACATCATTGAAACACATCTATGTGGTGGATCTTGCACCCAATTGATGTTCATACGAAAAATGGTTGAATGGGAAAAAGAATTATGCGCCAGCTGAGAAACTTCTCCCCAAAAAATTAGCTCGCATAAATACTTTGCGCCAGCTGAGAAACTTCTCCCCAAAAAATTAGCTCGCATACATACTTTGTTGCTTGTTTAGTGTTTTCAAATTTAAATAATGGAAAGTTTTTATAGAATCTCGTAAGAGAGAGGATGCTGGATTTGAATCAACGACATGTTGGTTATTGATAAGATACTTTAACATTGAGGCATTCTTTACTTTTTAATTAAGTTTATAAATTAAATATATGTTACTTCTTTTTTTTTTTATTTATTTATTATTATTTATTTTTTTTTAGTTTCTCAAGTGATAATTGATGTCGATGTTTATCCCTCACCCTTTAGAGTCTGTTTGGTTGGGATAAATGAAGGGGAGGAGAAGATAGAGAATATTTAATAATTTATGTGTTTGGTTCAAATTTTAAGAGGAGAAAGAGAGGTAGATGGAGGGGACAAAAATCTCTCCTGAGCCACTCTTTGCTTCCCCTGATTTGGAGGAATTTGGAGGGGAGAGAAGATGTTTGATTTTAATTATAATTATATTTACATATTTATCCTTATTATTTATTTAAATATAAATTTAACTTATAACAATGTTAAAAGTTTTATTTTAAACAAATTTAATCTTTCTTTTTATATTTGTTGTATTTTTATATCTTCATCTTACCATCATTATATCTGTTTAAATTTTTTATTTTATTTTTCATATTTTTATGTTAATTTTAGTTATCGTAATATTTTTGTTTATAATAATAATAAGGGGAACAAAACTGTAATTTAGCCAATTATATATTATAATCATTGTGTTTTTATAAAGTATTTCATGATGATCTCTGATTGAATATTTATATTTCGTCAATAAATTTGTATTTGAATTATAAACGGTAAATATCACAAGTCTTATGATAAAAGTAGAAGGATAAAAAAGTAAATTAGTTTTAAATTACCTCCCTTCCCCTTGTGAACCAAACATATTTATAAATAAAATGTCTCCCCTCCCCTTTCATATTTTAAACCAAACATATATGTAATTAAAATCTCTCTCTTCCCCTCCCCTCCATTTGATAACAATTCCTCCCCTCCTCTCCCCTCGATTGAACCAAACAGACCCTTAGTTATGGTGGATTTTTAAAAGTGTATGCACATCAGTTAATGAGTAAATCGCAGATTCATACTCGAAACTCAGATTCATAAATCACATATGAACCCTAACCCCTAATTTGAAACCAATTCTCTTTAATTTCTCGAAACTCATATTCATTTCTTTTGTTCATGCATTTTATGATTGGTATATACTAGAAACTAGAAATTAGAATGATTTATGATTGGTATGTCCTCAACTCATATTCATTTTATGATTGTTCCATTTGCAGTTTGGGAAAAAGAAAAATCATTTAGAGAAAACAAAGATTTAAGAAAAAAATGAAATGTAAATATATATTTCATTTGTAAACTAATTATCAAAATGTGAAGTGGTCTAGTGGTAAATTGTGTTCCATAGCAGACAAGGGGTCTTTGGTTTGAAACTTAGCTCAAAGAAAAGTTTTGAATTTTTTATTGAAACTTTGATTTCTCTTAATGATGAATAAATGTCACGCGTATGTACGTTTGTAAAAATTAGATGAAAATGACTTAAATGACTCAGTTTGAACAATTAAAGGATAACCCATTTAAATAATTACTACAATTACTACAACTCAAGCATAATATGAAGTTCGTCATCCACTCGAGGAAAGGGAAAGAAACAAATATAGTTTTATCTTGAGAAAGGGAAAGAAACAAATATAATTTTATCAAGATACAATTTTCAAAACTAAAAAATAACTTTATTTGCCAAATTCTCTGCAGTAGATGTCAAATTCGAGAACCACAAAGTGTCAATTAAGGATGCCAATAGCCATGGAATGTAAGGAGAATGTTTCTCCGTTCGCAACCCTTAATTTTTTTCCGCCTCCGTTTTTGATATGCGTCATGAGAGAATATTTTTTCTCATTTCCACAAATCCTCGTGATACCAATGGAGATCTACAAACATTGAATACTAAGAATTTTTTTATACTTTTCGATCTGTGAGATATTGGATCAAACTCTAGTATGCCCGAAGTCTATTCGCGAGTAACGCGTGTTGTAGCCGAAGTTTGTTATAACATGTATTAGTCGATATTGTTAGATTTGTTAGCATGTTGAGTTGGATCTTGCTTGTAAGTCCAATTATTTAAGTTAGCTTGTACCTTAAGTTAGCTTGTAATGGGTAATTGTTAAAAAAACTCATTAGGTTAGTGTGCAAATTTTCTTATAAATAACATGTTAGTCTCTCATCTTGCCATAAGGAAAAATAAAAAGATAAAATCCTAATTTCAAGAGAGAGAGGTTATTTTGTTATTCTTGTATACTTGTAATCTTGTTCCTAAGAGAAGGAAAATAATAGCAGTTTATAAACAATCCTTGTTGTTTTACCTTGTTTTCTTTATTAACCATAACCCTTGTGTGTTTCTTGATCATAAAGAAACCGTTTATATTTTATTTCAAGACATCCGATTCACAACAAATTGGTGCACTGAGCATGGAGAAGACACCTTCAATAAAGTATGAGATTGAAAAGTTCACCGGAGTGAATGACTTTGGTCTGTGGCGCTTGAAGATGAAAGCCCTACTGGTTCAACAGGATTGTTTGGAAGCGTTGAAGGAAGAGGCGGTCATGAACGATGCGTTAACGGAAAAAGAAAAGACGACCATGATTGAGAAAACCCACAACACAATATTATTGAGCCTTGGTGATAAGGTTCTACGACATGTATCAAAGGAGACTACAACATCGGGATTATGGGTGAAACTTGAAAGTTTGTACATGACCAAATCTCTGGTGAATCGGCTCTACCTGAAGCAAGCTTTGTATTCATTCAAGATGAGTGAAGACAAAGTATTGGCTAAGCAGTTGGATATGTTCAACAAGCTGATTCTTGATTTTGAAAATATTGATGTGAAGATTGACGATGAAGATCAAACACTGTTGTTGTTGTGTGTTTTGCCCATAACACATGCTCACTTCAAAGAAACTCTCCCGTATGGAAGGGAGTCCCTGAGCTTTGAAGAAGTTCAATCAACCTTGTATTCTAAGGACTTGAATGAACAAAACGAGCATAATCCTTCGACGGTGGGTGAAGGTTTGGCCGTTAAGAGAAAATTCTTGCGAAAGGATGGTAAGTTCGCCAAGAAGAAAGGTAAAAATCAACAGAAGTCTAATAGTGGAGAAACATCTGGTATTCGATGTTATCACTGTAAGAAGAAGGGTCATACAAGAAAGGTGTGCCCTGAACGCATGAAAAATCATGGAGGTAATGGCAACACAACCATTGTTCAAGATGACTTTGACTCATCTGATGTTCTTGTGGATTCAAGTGGCGACTCAAGAAAAAAGTGGATTATGGATTCAGGTTGCACTTGACACATGACTCTAAACAGAGAATTGTTAGAGGAGCTATGTGATCAAGATGGTGGATCGGTACTGCTGGGAAACAACAAATCTTGCAAAATTGCAAGTATTTTAATTGTGGGATTCAAGCTCCATGGTGAGTCCATAAGATTATTGAATGAAGTCAGATATGTACCGGACTTGAAGAGAAGTTTGATTTCTCTTGGTGAATTCGACAAAAAGGGATACGTTTTTCAAGGAGAGAAAAGTATCCAAGAGTCATGAAGGGGTCGAAGGAAGTTATGAGAGGCGTGAAGAAACAAGGCTTGTATACCCTTGAGGTTGGGGTTGTAAGTGGTTTGACAAATGTTACATCCACAAAATCTGTGTCGAAGACAAAATTATGGCACATGAGATTGGGCCATGATCGGTGGATTTCAGTTGTGTTTTCAAACGCTGTTTGTGGTTAATTTCGCAATGTTTTTATCTAATTTTCGAAGCTTTAGTTGTGATTATCTGCATTACTCGTAGTTGTGTGTCTTCGAGTCTTATTTTTAAGTTTATGTTGTTTTTGCCGCTGGTGCGTTTGATTTGGTTTCTTTCAGTGTGTTTTTGGCAGGAGTGGAGAGCACGACAATCGCACCGTATTCGGAGGAAAAGAAAAGGCGAAAAAGGGAACTCAGAGCTGCAACACGGGTACCCGTGTTGCACAACACGGCCCGTGTCATGAAGGACACGACTGGCAGACACGGGTGGACCAAAGCTGATGAAAAAAGAAGACTCATACTTGCAACACGGGTGCCCGTGTCATGTAACACGGCCCGTGTTGCAGCCCTTGGAGAGGAACACGCCCCAAAAGAAGCCAGCAGCCTGACACGGCCACCC